GGCTCACTTTTCTGAAGGCCTTTTTCTTCCTGCAAAGATTTGTATGCAGAAGCTGACCTCCATGGCTATGGAATGCAGCATATTATTCTTGATCATTTTACGGACCACCCACTGTGAAAGTTATGATGAAGGATTGCTTAATGATTCTTTGACCACTAACATTGTTTTAACTCAGTATTTCACTCTTAAATAGGTACTGACATAATTGAAAACCAGCTTTTCTGAGGGTCTTGATAATAAGGTTTTGAGATGCTTATAATCCTTGATAACTATAAAGATGCTGTTATGCTTACATTAATCTGCTTTAAAAATATGACATGTAATAGCAGTGTATTTGAGTTAGTTTTACTTGCAGTTTTTCTTTTTTGAGTAAAATAATCCAGTAAGTTAAATGTGTTAGCATTAACATTGGTGACAATCAGCTGACAGTTTTTACTGTAAAATAGAGAAAAATTTAGTTTTATTGAGCATATTCAGTCTGGCTGGCTGATGATAATCAAAGTGGACAGGTCTGGGCAAGAGCTATTATTTGATTATGCTTTGTGAGTAGCTCTCATCTGAATTCCTTTTCACTGTTTTTTTTTTTTTTTCCTTTGGGTTTTGTTTGTTTTTTGAAGTAGTAGCTTCAATGATGTCAGCTTTTGCAGGTAACTGATAAGTTGCACAGAGGAGGTGTTTTTGATCAGATGGTTCACTAGACACAGACTTAGGAAAGCAGGCTGTGTTCTGTGTGGCATTACTGTGGTGAGTTGAGAGAAGTCCAAGACTTTTCCCTCCTTCTTCTCAGAGTTCGTAAAAATCTTCTTTGCGACTATTTTGTATCAATGGATACATTTGTTCTCTAAAATTAAAATATAATTTTAGGTAATTGTTACCATTATAATCATGTTTGTGCTAGTGGAATTAATATCACTGTTTTAGAGTTATTGTTAATGTAGTATCAATGATTTTGCAGAAATAGAGTATGTATGCTTTTTTTTATTAAGGTATCATTGATAAATAATTTTAATGAAGTTTCACATGAGCAACACTGTGGTTACTACATTCACCTGTATTATCAAGTCCCCACCCCCACCCCATTGCGGACACTGTCCATCAGCGTAGTAAGATGCCACAGAGTCACTACTTGTCTTCTCTGTGCTACACTGTCTTCCCCGTGATGCCCCCCTCACCATATGTATCAATCATAATACCCCTCAACCCCCTCCCTCCCCACTCACCCTCTCCTCCTCCTCCCCTTTGGTAACCACTAGTCCCTTCTCCATGTCTGTGATTCTGCTGCTGTTTTGTTCCTTCAGTTTTTTCTTTGTTCTTATACTCCACAAATGAGGGAAATTATTTGGTACTTATCTTTCTCTGCCTGGCTTATTTCACTGAGCATAATACCCTCTAGCTCCATTCATGTTGTTGCAAATGGTAGGATTTGTGTACCTCTTACAGCTGAGTAGCATTCCATAGTGTATATGTACCACATCTTCTTTATCCATTCATCTACTGATGGGCACTTCGGTTGCTTCCATATCTTGGCTATTGTAACTAGTGCTGTGATAAACATAGGGGTGCATGTGTCTTTTTGAATCAGGGATCTTGTTTTCTTTGGGTAAATTCCTGGGAGTGGAATTCACAGGTCAAATGGTATTTCTGTTTTTAGTTTTTTGAGGAACCTCCATACTGCTTTCCACAATGGTTGAACTAATTTACATTCCCACCAGCAGTGTAGAAGGGTTCCCCTTTCTCCACATCCTTGCCAGCATTTGTTGTTCCTAGTCTTTTTGATGGTCATCCTAACTGGTGTGAGGTGATATCTCATTGTGGTTTTAATTTGCATTTCCCTGATGACTAGTGATGGGGAGCATCTTTTCATGTGCCTGTTGGCTATCTGAATTTCTTTTTTGGAGAAGAGCATGCATACTTTCAGGGTGGCTTGTGTTATTATCTTTCTAGTTTATTATAGTTCATCTCTACTGCAGAGCTTATTGATATTTCTGTTGGGCACACATGCCCAACTCCATCCATTTTATTTTAAAACAAGACAAAACTTCTTTCAAATTTACATACAGCCAGAAGGAATCATAGCAAATTTTGTTTGTAGATGTGTAAACTCATAGATTCCAGAGTTTGACCATCTTTTCTTGTATCTCAAGGTCTTTGCAGTGAGCCTCTTTCCTATAGCCTAATAACATTACCACCTTAAAAGAAATTGTTAGAAGTATGTGGCTCCAGGAGCTGTGTGCTCAGAAGCAGCACAGTTCTCCCCTGTCATCTCCCCACCTCTGCTCTCTCCATATTTACAGGTGTAGAAATTTTGGTGCAAGAGGATTGAGTGAGTTCCCTGGTCCATTGCTAGTAACAGAATAAGCTGAGATAAAACCCTAGCAGTTTAACTCAAAAGAGCCTGTGCTTTTTCTAGAAGGCCCCTTTGGGGCAGGTTATAACATATATGAAACAGATGTGGATCAAAATAAAGCAATGGAAAAATAAATAGTGGTTAGGTTCTGAAGACTGGGAACTACATCTCCCACCATCTGTTAGATTGCTTTCTGTAGGAACATTCATTCTGGATTCGAACAGGATGTCAGGATCAACAATTTCCCATCTCCTCTTGAAACAGAGGCTTGTTGCCTATCTCAAAAGGATCCCCATATTTACTTGGAAGAGTTAACCTCCACTGGGCTGCTAAATTCTGAAAACTATTACGCATATAACGTAAGTTAAGTGGAAGGGGGATCCCTGAAGTTCGTACTGTGATTAAGGAGCAGTGTATGAGAGAGGTTAATATTCTTACTGAGCAGTCTGTTACTTTGAGAGGCAGAAGAGAAGCAATTCAGAGTTTCCTGAAAGGGATTTCAGTTATGAAGGAAAACAAGAGTGTAGGTCTGGAGTTGGGACTAATCATCATAATAAAAATTAACATTTAGATGCATTATTTATATCCTCAGTATATCACTGTGATAGAGATACTATTATCTGAATTTTATATTCAGGAAACGGAGACTAAAACAGTTCGCTGAGGTCAGAACTAGTTATGGTACAGCTGGGTTTTCTGCCAACTTCTGCAGGTCCTAAGAGCCTGAGTTTGTAAGCAATGTGCTTCATTCTCCACCTGGCTTGGCTTGGTTTGGTTTGTGAAGCAATAAGGGCCTGGCCTCAGTCAGATACACAAGCCAGAGAATAATCAGAAATAAAATTGGGCATGAAGAATGGAGAGTTGTTTTTAAGGAACTTGAATGGTGGGTAAGTTAATTAACATTTAGCTTCATATGAAGTAGAAAACCATGGAACAGTCTTGAGCAGGGAGTAGTATAGTCATCACGGAGGGCACCGATTTAAGAAAGCCATGTTGCACAGTGATCTAGCCATGAAGTTATCTCTCTTATCACGGTACCCCTGAGAAGTCAGGTGTCAGCCTCATTTGAAGGGGAACAAAATAAAGTCCAATAAGGTTTTGTGCACAGTCCAGGAACAGCCAGGGAGTGCCAGGAGCTTGTGGCTCATGCTCCTCCTGTGGCTCACGCTGTGTCCCTCGGTGACATGACCTCTCCTGTGCAGTGCTTGGCACATAGCAGACGCGCCTCTCATTCTGTCCCACTCCCCCATCAGCCCTGCCTCCCAGTGTGTGGTGGAGCCTGGGGCTGGAAAAATAAGGCATGATCGTGGTCTTTAGGAACTCCAGGCTTATGAGGGAGACAGACCTGAACACAAATGTCCTGCAGAACAGGTGCCAAAGTGGGTCCAGTAGGAGCCTGGAAGGACTCTGCCGCCCGTCTGCTCTGCCCTGCACCTCTTCTCCCCCTCTCCTCTCTGCCCTCCTCTTTGCACCTCTGTTGTTCTTCAGGCTCTCAGGAGTGACGATCTGTCCTCTGAAATAATCCTTTCCAAATTGCCAATAAAAGAATCTTCTGGGCCTACAGTGTGCATTATTATTGATTTATTGATGCATTTTTATACTTTCCTTTAAGCTTCACCTTATAGTTATAACATCTTTTCATCTTCAGAAAATAAATCAAGTAGTGGGCTGAGTACAAATATTCATTTAAATTCGTAATCACTCTCCATTAGACATTGTGTCTAGAGGGGGTTTGATTGTAATGATAATTTTTGTGACTATAACTTTATAAAAGAAAACACAGACATTCGTTTTGAAAGGATTTCAATTAAAACAGAATTTGCAACTTTTTTTTACAATTATGACTGAAGCCGGAGTCTGGATCCTGCATGTTTAATGCCTAATAATCATTACTGCACAACTGTAAATAATATAAACATGCAATACTTAAATTAGGTTAATTTAGAAAACATGGAAATCTTATTACTTTAAAAACTAAGAAACATTTGTATTCTAAAGATTTTTTTTGTCTCTGGCCACTTGACCCAATTTTCCTGGACGGTGTAATACTGATCATACACAAGGAAAGACCTGTGTGTTAAGATTAGCATCACTGATGTTATTCTCATCAAAACAAACAAAAAAAAGCAATCAAGGGGACACATGGAAACTTTTGGAGGTGATGGGTATGCTTATCACCTTATTGTAAATGCGCTGGTAACACAAGGTAATAAATACGATACGCTTACCAAAGTGTATGTTAATAATGTGCAGCTTTTGCATACTAGTTAAAAAGTCTTGAACTTTGACCAAATATTAAAAAGAAATTAATATCGCTTAAGGAAGGTTAATTTTTGAAGGACTGTCATAGTTAATGAACTCAAATTCATAGATGGGTGGTGGCTCTGTGAATAGATGGTGCTTCACCATCACCCACAGTGCCGGCCACCGCCGTGTTGGAGTGTCTGCGTGGTTTTTTTGTTGTTTGCTGTTAATCTCTCTAGCTTAAATCTGAAAGTTTTTTTCCTAAGGATGTAACCTTTTAAAGGAAAGAGCATTTTATTTCACAGAACCTTTTGGCAGTTTTATCTGCTCACTTAATATCAAAGGGAAATCAATTTACTAAGAGAGAATAAAATAACATTATTGACTCTTTCTTCTCTTTCTGCTTCAGAGTACCTACTTCAAAACCACAAGTGGCTGACTGGGAGCTCTCGATAAAATTGCACGATGAAGTTCATACTGTCGTAGCATCCAGCAGTGGGCCAACGTTCTCCGTGAGTTTTATTCCTTTATTTTTTGTGGTAATCTTGAAGTTATCTTTGAGTACTTAAAACAATTTGAACCTATTCAGTGACACTCATCTTTAGAATCTGTAACTTAGTAATGTATTTGTTTCCTGTTCTTTGGGAAGCTGAGTGTAAATGGATATTTTTGTTTTCTTATGTTAATTAGGAAATTAGGAAATACCTTCTTAGATTTAGCCCCATGCTAAACCCACTTCCTGAGAACTGATTCATTTTTCTTTTGTAAGTGAGAAGTAATCTCTTGTTTTCATTTTAGAGAAGAGCATCTTTATTATAATTCCAAATGTGTGATAGCTGTGGTAGGTAACCATTCTTTTAGAACAAGTAATCCGAAGCCTCATAACCTTTTCTTGAGATTTCATGTTGTGAGACATTCTTGAGACCTTATGGTGACATTCCTTTTTTTGAGGGAACTTAAACCCTTTGGATAGTATCCACGATAGAACTGTTTTCGTTTAATTTTGGTCTATACTGAACAATGTTACAATAAGGTTTAGTGTTTATGCCATGGTGTGAATGATCTGTTTAAATTCTGCTTATTGAGATTTCCAGAAAATTACCATGGAAGTACTCTGTACTCTTTTAACTCACATCCTTTATTATTTCCAGCATGAACCCGCAAAAGCTGCTCTATAATTAGTATAACAAATTTTTCATTGATCTACATTTCTGTTCTTGTGGCTAAGTTGTATTGAAATGTCATTTTGTTTGGGGAAAAATGACTTGATATCAAAAGACTTAAACAGGATATGAAAATCAAAATAATATAATTTCACCTAAATAGGACCTGGTGAGGCTTGATGAAAATGGTAGCTTCTGGGTTCTAGCTAGAAAATACCACAAGTCAAGAATTAATGGGGATTCATTTATTCAACCAATGTTTATGCCTATTGTGTGCATGTTACGTAAGCGCTAGACTGTTACACTGGAGAAGCTGACATTCCTATGCGGTAGTTAGAGTCACAAGTAAATGAGATTAATTCATGAATTAAGGGTAGTCTCTTTGGCTGCCTTTAAATTTTGTGGTTCATTCTGTGTGCCACCATTGCTAAAACACTTATTACTAAATGATATTTCACTCAACTCTTAAAATGAAAACTTCGATGGAATTAAACAATTGTCTGTGTTCTACTTTGTGATGAATTTATGAGATTTTACTTCCCTCCCTTTTGTATGATCATTTATAAAAGTAGCTTTGTAAGTGGACACTTCACTGTACATCAGATTGAGTAGCAAATTATATTTATTGAATAGTTAAGAGTATTAATATTATAGCATTTTCCTGAGGGAAAGCTAACTTTACAAAAATGTAGACTTAAGCATAATTTTTAGTTCTGTGCTGAGTCAACACTGAAGAGTGGCTGTTAACCTGATACTCCAATCCAGTGTTTTTCTAAGCACTGCCTTCCTTGCCGTCATGAGAAGACTGCCCAGGTTACATCTTAGAGCTGTTGTTCCTTTGTGTTTGTTTCAGATTTGTTGGAAAACTAGAGACTATTGGCTTGACAGCTCAAGTGGTATCTTTTGACTTTTTCCTGTAGAACTACCTCCTGTTTAACTTTTTTTTTAGCTCATGAGGGAAGTAGGGTTGTTTAAAAAAATACTTCAAGATTGATGCACTAAAAATTTCCTTGAAAAAAAAAACCCACCTTTATATAGAGAGCATTAAAAATTATTTCCCTTATTTATTGGCTTAGTTACAATCAGAAGCACCAAGCAATGAAAATCAAGTACTCCTGATAGTATGTCCCCTTTTCCTAAGCATGTTTATATTGAGCTTCATTTGACATCAGTATTATGAAAGGAGTCAAGTTGAATAGTGTGGACTAAGTAAAAGCGATTGGTGAGGAGATTTTAATATTGTGGGACCTGTGCTTTTAGGGTTCAGAAGGTAAAGCTAGATTCAGAAGGTAAAACTGTGACTATTTACGTGGTTTTCTAGAGAACCCTCTGCCACATCAAGAAAACATAATTAATTAAAGATAATAGTCTAGGTTAATGACCCCAAAAGTAGTACAGGCAAAGTCGTATTTGTTTAGCCCACATTGATGCTCCAGATACCCCATGTTTTTAGAGTTCTTTTATTTAATTAAAGTTATTTCAAATGAGGAACATAGAGCAAATGCATAAATCTTATACAGGTTTCCTATTAAAAAAGAAAAAAATTCATGGATATGGCTAAATCTTTTCTTTACATCATCCCAATCTGCCCCTTTCCTCCCCAGAGGAACAGCTACCCTGAAGGTGCTATGTGTCCTTCTTGTGCATGTTCCTACATTTTCAGTATGTATGTACCATGATAATAGTGGAAAAGGAAGTTGTGAAATTATAAATACTTAATGACATCATTTATGTAAGACTTAAAAATACACAAAGCAAAAGCAATTCCATTTACAATGGCATCTAAAAGAATAAGATACTTAAGAATAATTTAACCATGGAGGAAGACTTGTACACTGGAAACTACAAAGCATTGCAGAAAGAAATTAGAGAAGACACAAATAAATGGAAAGCCATCTCATGTTCATGGATTGAAAGACCTAATGTTGTTATGATGTCATTACTATCCAAAGTGATCTACAGATTTAGTACCATCCCTATCAAAATCCCAACCGATTTTTTTAAAGACTTTATTTTTAATTAAGATGTCATTGGTATACAATCTTATGAAGGTTTCACATGAACAACATCTTGGTTACAACATTTACCCATATTATCAAGTCCCCCCGACACCCTAATGCAATCACTGTCTGTCAGCATAGTAAGATGTTATATAGTAACTACTTGTCTTCTCTATGCTAAACTGCCTTCCCCATGACCCACCTACATTATGTTTGCTAGTCATAATACCCTTTAATCCCCTTCTCCCTCCCTCCCCACCCGCTCAACTGATTTTTTTTAGCAGAAACAGAAAAATCTATCCTAAAATTCATATGGAATCTTAAGGGACCCCAAATAGTCAACAATTTTGAAAAAGAAGAACAAAACTGGTGAGCTCATACTGATTTCAAATATACTATAAAGCTGCAGTAATCAAAGCAGTTTGCTACTGGCATAAGACAGACACATGGACCAATGATTAGAATTGAAAACCCAGAAATAAACCCTTGGATGCTTAAATGATTTTTGGCAAGAGTGCCAAAATCATTCAACGGGGAAAGGACAGTGGACAGTCTTTTCAACAAATAGTACTGGGGAAATTGGATATCAATATATGAAAGAATGAAGTTGGATGCTTACCTTATACCATATATAGAATTAACTCAAAATGTAGCAAAGACCTAAATGTAAGAGCTAAAGCCATAAAACTCATCCAAGAAAACACAGAGGAAGACCTCATGACATTGGATTTGATGATAATTTCTTGGATATGAAATGAAAAGACAGGCAACAACAATAAAAAATAGATAAATATCAAAGTTTAAAGCCTTGGTGCATCGAAGGACACAGTCAATAGAGTGAAAAGGTCATTCACAGAATGGGAGAAAACATTTGCAAGTATCTGACAAGGAATTATTATCTTGATTATATAAAGAACTCCAACAACTCCAAGAGCAAAATAAACAATGACAATAAAAACCCAATTTAAAAATGGTTGAAGGACTTTAATAGACATTTCTCCAAAGGAGATAAAGAAATGGCCAAATAAGCACGTGTAAAGATGCTTAACATCACTAGTCATTAGGGAAATGCAAATCCAGACCAACACTGGGCACCATTTCATAGCTCTTAGGATGGCTGCTCTCCAAAACCCCCAGAAGATAGTGGTTGTTGGCAAGGATGTGGAGAAATTGGAATCCTTGCTCACACTGGTTAGAGTGTAAAGCAGTGCAGCTGCTGTGAAACACAGTATGGTGGGGCATCAAAAAAAAAAAAGTGAAATCACCATGATTCAGCAATACCACCACTGGGTATTTATCTAAAAATATTGAAAGCAGGGTCTTGAAAAGATATTTTTTGCACACCCATGTTCAAGCAGCATTGTTCATAGTAGCTAAGAGGTGGAAGCAACCAAAGTGTCCATTGGTGGATGAGTGGATAAACAAAAGGTCGTAAGCAGGGAAGATGAAATTTTTAGGAAATGAAGAGAGCATGGCGGAAGTGTAAGTGAAGGAGTTTTGGAAAGGGTGAAATGTTTTGTGTGTTTTAGGTCTTCTTTCTGATGCTGAATACAAGTGCAGAATGAACAGTAGAATTAATTAAGTATAAAACCTGCTAAATACAAATTTGAGACATTACTTAGCTTATTAAGATAGTAAACTCCAAAGTATCAAAAACAAACTGCTGTTTATATTTATTTTCAGTATTCTCATCTGGATTCCCAAGATGCTTTGTATTTCTCCTTTATTCTGTATAACATGAAACCAGTCAAAATGGTTTATGATACAGGAAATGATTAAAGCATATGTATTATCTTTAAAGATGATGGACTAAATTCATTTTGAAGACAATTCATTTGGAAGAAACATGTCATAGTCTGCTTAGGAATCCAGCCTTCCCAATGATGGAAAAATGCACTTGAAAAATGTTTTTCCTGATATTTCATGTTAACTACTAATAAACTAGAAAGCAGTTATATATGATCCTAGATACTGAATTAGAAATCCTTTGTTATAGTGAGCCACTGGAAGAAATTTTTCTAAAGACTTGTAAATTTCTGTTGAGAATAACCCAAATCCTTAGACTATTGAATTTTAACACACCAATGTAATTTTTGTGCTAGTGGTTTGAAAGAAAAATCTAAATGATCAAAAGTAACATTTAATGTGGTCAAGGAAAATGATTTTTTTCAGCTTTTTAAAAACTCTTTTCATTTTCCTAAATAAGATTTAGTTTTTATTATTTCTTATAAGAGGGTCAAAACCTTACTTTTTTGATAGGTATAAAATTTTTGATGTTTTAAATGACAATCAGAATCCTTTCATTCTTCTAATTCCTAGTAAGTTTCATACTGGTAAAATTTATATTAA